GAAGCACTGTCCTTCAGTTGATAGGAGTTTTTTTTTGTACACCCAGGGTCTCTTTGGCCGCGTCTTGTATGATGTTTTTACACGCTTCCCATTCTCTGTTTATATCGTCGTGCTTTTGTCTGTTTTCTAGCCTTCCTTTTATATATTCTTTGTATTTTGCTTCTTTGCTGTGGTTTCATATTTTTCAATTTTGGATCTTTTCTTTTTTAATGTTTGAGATTCTGGCTCTTATTCTACTTTCCACTAGGTAGTGATCCGAGTCTGCATTTGCGCCTCGTCTGCTGCATACGTTTATTTCGTCTGAGTGATGTCTAGGGTCAATAATAACATGATCGATCATGTTTACTGTGACCCCATCTGGATATCTCCATATTCCCTTATGAATATTTTTTCACTGAAAACATGTGCTGGCAATGACCTTGTTAAGGGAAGTTGCGAGATTTATTAGTCTGATGCCATTGTCATTGGATACCTCATGAAGGCTGTGCTTACCTATAGTTGATAGGTATTGTTGTTCTTTTCCTAATTTTGCGTTGAGATCACCATAAATAATTTTCATGTCATTCTTTGGACGTGAATGGTATGCAGCTTCTAGTTCTTCATAGAATTTTTCTTTGACATGGTCTTCCTTTTCCTCTGTAGAGGCATGCACATTTAAGATGCTATAATTAAAAAATGTTCCCCTTAGTCTCAGGATACATATTCCAGAGTTCATAGTACGAAAGTCTCTTACGAGGTGTTTAACCTTTTTATTTACAATGAAGCCAGTACCTGGTGCGTGGTCTTTAGCGTCACAACTATAGAATATATTGTGGTGTCTTTTGTCAATGGTGCCACTCCCGGTCCATCTCATTTCTTGCAGAGCTGTTATATCTACGTCATATCTATTCAGTTCACCGAGAAGATTTTTTAGGGTTCCCGATCTGTATAGGGATCGGATGTTCCATGTCGCGATTATTTTCTTGCGAAGGATGGTTGTCTTGTTATCATGCTAGATGCTAGAAGATGCATATATCAGTCTTCTAATTTATTTAAGATATATCATGTCCTTTCCATTAAGTGTCATGTATTTGTTATACTCGTATATATCAAAGTTGTTTTTTAAATCAGAAACGCATTCTCTCCAAATAAGGATATTTATAAAATATAAATAAACATGGAGTGCTTGAAGATGGAGATTGAATCGCATCGAAAGCAGATTGTTTATTTGACTAACACTTACAAAGGGAAACGTACAGGATTGTAAACAAAATCAGTTTACATCCAGTGATTATGAGTATTTTCTTCTTTTTCTTCTTTTTTTGAATTAAAAATTGTATATTTCTCTAAATAAATTGTTTGATCTAAATTAATGAACATTATCCGTTAAAAACGCACTTTCGCTTGTCTTGAACATCACTCAAATATTTAGAGAATTTGCCATTAACCTTTTCGGCACAGCGGGCCGTTTCAGTCAAAGATTTCCCCCCTTACTCATAATAGTTGTAACGAAGATATTTTGCCTACCACAGGGGGCATTGATACGGGAGATAGAAAATTGGGGGAAAAACTATTGGGGGTGGAGATAGGGCAAGCAAAATAATCGCTACTGATGCGAACGGCACTCAGGGTTTCGTAGGAGAGCTGGGGTCGTGGATAAGTAATAGATAACGGCATTGGAATGGGGCAACTACCAAAAAAAAATGAAATAAAGGGCTCTTGGGATAAACAAAATAAAAATAAACAAGAAACACCTCAAGGAATTTAATATAGGGCGCCACTTGAGGTGGCTAATTATACCTATTACAACCACTAGTTGTAACTAGGAAAATAATTAGAAAACAAATCAAAACATAAAAAACATATCTTTTTCAAATAAACTCAAAAAGAGTTAGCTCAAAAAAAAATAAATAAAAAGTTAAGAAAATAAAATTTAACCTTTATTTATGTGTCACCACAAACAGTTACATGGAGAAATACAAAATTCAAAAACTTACATGTGTCATCCATTAACAAACGCCATTGCTACAAAACTTACAAAATTGCATGGAGGTTAACCTTTTAAAACAAAACAAAACAAATCAACATCAAAAATACTAAAACGAGCTGTCATGAATTAACATTAAATTTCAAAAAAAAAACTAAACACAAATTGACAGCTTTACTCAAAACCTAAAATTTACAATTTTAAATGTCAACGAAAGCAATTATTATTTCATAAAAAAATGTCTGTCTTTAGTTTAAAATTTGAACAAAATGTTACCTTAATTCACATGATCACACTTAAGTTTCTGAAACCATAACTGGAACCTGGAACTGAGGGCTCCACTCTCTCTGCATCACGAAAACCTCCATCTCCAAACTGCCAAAAGCCTTGGATAAAAGCAGGAACAAAAGAAAAACAAAACGAGGATGTTCTCCAATCCACACTCAAAACATTAATAATTGAAGCATTTACTGCCACAAAACCAATAACAAACTGCTACATTTTCTTCATAACAAAAAACGAAAACAGAATACTTTACAAATTCGACGTGAATTTGGACATAACGCTGAACCACTCTTGAAAGGTGCTCCAACGAGAATGAAGAAATTCTATTAAAATTGAACGCATACATACAAACGCTGACATAACAAGACACCACGAAACGACGTACATATCCTTTTGCGACGCATTAACTTGAAAAGAAATTGCCGAAGTAAAATAAACAACTCTAAAATGGTTTATTTCAACTTGGCCGACCTAAGAAAGAAATGAAAAGATATTTAGGTTTAAATACGTACGAAATATTTTTAGATCTATCAAAAATATATAAGGTGATTTTAATATTTCGTATACGAGGGGACTTCAATATACTTAAAAGAATCAATGAATTTGAAAATGCTACATAGTCAGTCGAAAATTTGTAAAATATACTATAGTATGTTTTCTTTCATTTCTCTATATACCAGAATTTGTATCGTTCACCTATTTATTTCGCCCTATGTCATTTCCACTTCATTTCTTGAATGCAAGCATTGTGTACTTCCATTCTTTTAAGCGCATTTACCAACGAAAATAACTTCTTAATTCTAAATATAGAGATATAACAGTTAAACTACAATGACTAGGCTTTTCCACATCTTATATTTTGCAACGCTTTGTCTCATTATTAATGAAGAATACATTTAGGAGAATCCTACACACTAGACTTCCCGTCTACCCATCAAACACTTTACCAACACCCGATAAACTCGAAAAATCCCCACCTTTTCCAATCCAAAGCACCGTCGACCTGCACCTTGATCTAAAAAGTCCCAAAATATTGTAACAGCGGCATTCGTTTCACTATTTATAACCGGCAAGATGTGCCAAGTGTGTAAGTTGCGCCAACTTTGTTCGGCTGCTTGACATTCCTGCGAGCTTCCACCGCGATTTTCCCAAAATTTGAGTAAATTGTGCCGAAAAAATGGATGTGTCCCCCGACGTTTGGGGCCAGTTGGCCCTGGAAGCCTCCCAAGTGTATTTGACCGATGGTACTGCTGCGAAAAGTCCGTTTGCTGGAACGGTAGGGCTCAAATTCTTTTCTAAAAATAGACTTTTGCTTGTGTTTGGTAGATATTTTTGTTTATGTTGCTGTTTAATAGGAATGAAAGTTGGTATTTTAAAACTTCCCATTCAATTAAAGAATATTTGGAGTTTATTTATTAATTGTTGTGACTATTCGGGTTTAAATGAAAAAATTTTTAATAACGATTCCTCTTTATCTCAGTATTGTTTTGAAGCTATTTTCTGGTGACATCTTAATATAATTTCCAATTTCTATTGGGAATGAGCCACAATGTAAGTGGCTCATTCATTGTATTAAAATACAAAATATTAATAAATTAAACAAATTTTGTTCTTTGTTACTTGGTGAAAAATTCTTCTAATAATTTAATTTTATATGACTCATATATTGACAATTCAGACATACATTATACATTTTAAAGTAGACGACTTAAAAATGATAAGGTAAAGTGCTCAAATACCGTCCCTCTAAGCAAAATCTTAAATTCTGACATTTGATTTAGAGTTAAAATAATGGAAAAATCTGATGAATCTATGTCTAAAAGTTTTGCTAGTACGATTCTACTAAATAAAATTTCCTGAAGTAAAAATAAATAAATAACAAAATAAAGTAAATTTCGGTTCTCTAAAAATGGTATCCCAATTCCGTTCCCCACCCATTCCTAGTTAAAATGTATGATTTTTTTGTAAAACATGATTTAACAGTACTAATATCTGTTATAATAAATTTATTGAGATAGGAACATGTTTATACATTTTGATACATTAGTTCTATCTATTTACACCTCCAGACACAAATCACAAACAAAATTTTTGACCTTGATTGAAGTTGAACACATCTCATGGCACCACTTGAAGCATTCCGAACACCTTATCCATTTTTCTCCTCGCTTGTCTTGTGAAAAACGTTTTCCACAAATGGCACATGGTGCATCTTTATCACCAGAACCATCCTCATCATCGGTTGATACCAGTGGAATTTCTGTTCGTCCTCAGAGTCACATGAAATTAAATCCCACTTCGTTGTTTTCTTCTCTTCAATGGTGGATTCTTGTATTGTTCTAAGGTTGTGGAACAGTTTCTCCAAGTATTCTTCTCATACTTTTGTTTTCTTTTGTTTGGTTATGGCAAGATTGCCTTCATCACCTGTTATTTTATTCATCAGGTGTCATCAGGTGTTCATTTTTACTAATTGATTTGCTTTCGCAAAAATCTCCAATGTAGCTCCTCGATCCTTCCGGTTTCCTAGTCCAAATGGTCCAACTGCAGATGGTGTTTTGTTGGCCCTAACTTTGGGCTTACACAGCTACGCATTTACCTTCACTGGCTGTAAATGTAACTTAGCAAATAATATTATAATGTACCTAAATTCATACTATTGTATTTTATTTACTCCGTTAATGACCTTAGTGGTTAATACGGTTATTTTCTAAATAAAAAATATAACATACTTTCTTTTATCACATTTTAGACAATAGAAAAACTTCCCGATAAAGTCCTCCTCCACATCTTCAGCTACTTAGCTCACAAGGAAATATGTCATATGGCAAGGGTCTGCAGACGATGGCGCCTCATCGCTTACGACACCAAACTGTGGAAAAACGTTTCTCTACGTCCAGAAATCTCCGGACTTCACGTAGGTTCCCTGGAAGCTCTCTTGGCACTTGTGAGCATCAGATTTGGACCATCTCTGAGGTACATAGAGCTTCCAATAGAACTTATCACGCATACGGTGCTACACGAGTTGGCGAATAAGTGTCCAAATTTGACTCATATGCTGCTGGATTTCTCTACTGCTATGCAGCTGCACGATTTCAGCGAATTGCAAGCGTTTCCCACTAAGTTGAAGTATTTGTGTATATGTTTATCAGAAGTAAGTATAAATGATTGTGGTTTTTGATCATATTTGCTATATGAATTGAAGTTATTCGTCATCATCATATAGCGCTAACACTGGCTGTGTCCTAGCTGACTAAGCAACTTTTTCAGCCTGACTCAGTCTCTTATAAATCTATAGTCACATGGATTGTTAATTTTTTTTGGAGATCTAGTGGTCATTTCCTGTGGACATATCGTCCTAAACAAGTTTTCTACGTGTGAAATCTATCTATGTGCCTTTTTCATCTTAGTTATTGGAATTTAATCTTTTGGACAATATAATTGTTTAATCCGAAAACGTTTTGCAATGTGTTTGTGATAGCCCGTTTGAGGCATTTTTATATACCTTTTATAAAGGATTTTAACAAAATTTTTTTGTGATATATGGTATACAGCCATCTACAGGAACTTAGTTTCCTCGTGGAATTTTAATATAATTATCATTATAAAGCTTTTTTATTTCTAAATTTGTTCTAATTCTATACTGATTTGTAGTCATATCGTGGTGAGGAAGTCCAACTTTTTCTGTTGCTCCATCGATATTATCGAAAATGTCTTTTACGGACAAGATTTAGTTTCTCATGATGTCTTCTGCGTTTGCTAAAGGGACCTTGGGACCTTGAACCGTTAATAGTGTGGTTTTTATTTCAGTTAATTTTCACGGACTCCTACGTATTTTCTTCGTTGGAATTGAAAAGTAGATAAAGGATCACCTTTAGTCCATTTATTTGCTTCAAATGTGTTGATGGTTGCTATCGCATTCCATACTTGATTTTTCTTTACACTATCCTTTCTCTAAAAGCTAGCTGCCTTATATGAATAGTTGATTTATTGCTGATTAATGCTTTTACCCTAATACCGGTTTGGTATTCTCCCAGAACTTTTCAGCATAAGAAGATATCTTTTTTTTCTTTTCTGAGGTTCGAAATTTCTAAAATCAGTACAAGATTAACCCATCTTTAGGAATGGCTGGCGTGTCTTGGATTCAAGGTAGAGGAGTACTTCCGAGCCCAATTCCCCTTAGAAGAAGATCCTGCAAACGGATGCCTTCCTGTCTAAGATGCTCCCTAAAACAGCCATGTCATGTGAGCATTTGCGTCAGCAGTAATCTAGTCGCCTGTGACCACACTCCACCCAATCTCTTGGTTTGGTGATCTGCATCTTGGTCCACTGGGCAACATCTTCCTTGTTATTCCACTCTTTTTGCCATCTTTTCATTGATCTTTTCCTTTTTTCTTTTTTATCGCTATTGTCAAATACTTTCTTCTCTCATAGAGATGTCTCCTTTCTACTGCTAATACATGCAAAGGAACACATAGTCCACAAGGCCGTCGCAGATACAGTTCTGCAGGCTCATGCTACTCGCAACAGACACTCGCAACACCGTGTAAGGCCCTCCTCCTTTCTGATTTAGGTCCTTAGGTATCACTCTTCCCACCTATCGCAGTTGCACTCCTCCCTGCCTTCTGGGCTACCACACGTATATGCTCCCCCCATGCACCATATTGGTGTAATGTTACTACCAGATATTTGATGCATTTCTTTGATGTCAGTCGTGCCCCTGCACATTGGAGTTCCATCCCTTGTCTTTTTCGTTTACCCTTTAGAATGATGCGCTACTATCAGCACAGCAAGATCATCCATAAAAGCGAAGGAGGTTATACCTTCTCCAGTTTATGGCCCCGTCATATGCTAGGGTCCATAACATCGTACCCAATTAATTACTACAGCCATTAAGTCAACGAGCGTACCCTTCTCAACCACGATATTTCTCTCGGAAAGATATTCCGCCAACGCATTCATCAGATATTTAGGACACTCCTTCTCCTCCAATGCTCGCATCACCTCTTTCCACTGCAAAGTGTTGAATGCATTTATAGCATCGAACAGCAGCAGAGCCGCCAGTGTTGTTCGTTATTACACTCAAAATTGCGTCAATTATTGTGCTTTTCCCTTTGCAGAATCCGAATTGTCTCCGGGATACGCCTCCTGATCTCTCAATCGTGTCGTGGATCTGTCTTTGCAACATCCTCTCGTACAACTTTCCGATGCATAGGAAGAGGCGTATGGAGCGATATTTCTCCCCAGTTTTGGGAAGCAGTACCAACCTTGATGTCCTCCAAGCCTCAAGAAATCTCTATGCTTCAAGCAAAGCATTCATGTTCTCCAAAGTCATCTAGGTTCCGCATGTCCTAGACTCTTTACCGCTTCGGGCAGAAATTGCAGCACGAAAGATTTCTGTGCATCTAATGCCTCGACTAATTCATCTATGGTAAAGGCCCTCAGCTCCCTCGATCCTTCATATTCCATGTCATCTGCCGGACGGAAAAAACTCTCGCGTTACCTCAAGGTTTTTTTCTAGTGGCATGTCGTATGAGGGATGCGCATGGAGTTTTTTCATTGCAGTCCTATATCCCTGAGCAAAGATATCCTCATTCGATTTTCTGTTTGAATTTTTCTATAGAATTATCTCTTTCGTGCGTGGTATTTTATTCCAATTCTCTCTCTCCAATACTCTGCCCTTGCTCTCGTTATCCTTCTCCTCATGGCTTCTTCTTCATGTGCCTTGTCCGTTCCGAACGTTGGCAATCAACATGGCTATTCTGACTTTGTTTACGGCAGATTTGAATAGTTCAGCAGATGACAATCCGAACCATTGCCGCAAGTTTTGGAGCCACGAGTGTCTTCTCCTCTCTGGATCCCTTTTGGTGTCTATTTTCCCTTGAACGATCAGCTGTAGTTCCCTTGAACGATCCTCATGGCTATGCATTCATATCTAAGCTCTTCAATGTCCGCTCTCGACGTATTCTACTGCCTTTTATATCTTCTTTCATGACTTGTCCCCATGACCGTACTAAAGAGGGTATGTGGAAGGATTTTATATTATGTTGGTAATTAGTGATATTTCTTCTTGTTTTCATTTCCATTACCGTTTTCCCTTTATCTTGATCTCTATGATCATTAGTACCTAGTGTATTTGGTCAATATCAATACAGTAAAATAAACAATATCTCCAAATAATCTTGTGCTTATTCTTGCAGGTAATATTTATGGAAGGTTTCATGAGAAAAATCTACAACTTCATCAACGGTTTGGAGATTCTCCACTTGATAGGAACGTATGAAAAAGTAGAAGAAGAAGAAGAGGAAATTTACGAAGTCATTAATGTACATAAATTAAAATCAGCAACTCCAAATCTCAGAGTCATCAATTTGTATGGCATTAACTTTGTAGACGACAGTCATATCGATGCATTCAGTTCAAACTGTATTCAGGTTGGTATATTGTAACTAAAAAAAATACTCTCCTGAACACTCATTTTTAAGATAAACTTTATTAAAGACTTTTTCTTTTTATCTGATTTTTTTAGCTGGAATGTCTGGCTGTGAACTACTGTAATAAAGTAACAGGATCAACTTTGAAAACATTATTCCAACGTAGTAGAAGGTTGAAATGTTTATTAATGAACGGAACCAGTAAGTATTAAAACATTTAATAATTCTTTAGTAAGTAAATGCCTATTTTTATTGGGAATAAGCCACAATTTTGCTTTAAAATTATGTTTATTTGACGTTTCGATTTCCACTTCGGAAATTGTTCCCAAAATACAACAATGCCATAATAAAACAGCTTCAGAAAAATATTGTTTAGTATTTTGTACAAATAATCTTGTGATATGACCAATTGATTCGTGTTTTAGACCTGCAAAGCGACTATCTCATGCAAGTGGAATGGGAAAAATGTTCTGTGCAAGAACTTGACATTACTGCTACAGATTTATCAACGGAAGCCTTGCAAGATATGTTGACAAGGATACCAGGACTAAGATTCTTAAGCGCTGGACAATTAAATGGTTTCAACGATTTAGTATTGAAATCTTGGATGGAATCTGGAACGTCAAGAAACCTGGTAAGTTTCTTTCACCAAATCAAACTTATTCTGATTTTTGTTTTACCTATAATTCTTTTAATATTATTGAGCTTTAGTGATTTGTATCTATTTATTGACTTTTGTCCTCCTCCATCGATCTTGGGGATTTTTTGTTTCTCAGTTGGTTGAGAGCCTTTCCTAATTCTGCTTGTAAGATTTTTGGTTCTGCCTCTCTGATTTCATGTTTCTTTTTCTTGCGTTCTGAGGCTGATGCATCTTTTGAAGTGTCTTTGTATAATTCTGAGTAGCAGTCTCTGCAATGCTTTCTATTTCGGTTTTTACTTCTCCATTATGGTCTTGAATAGTTTAAAGTTATTGTCTGAACGCTCGGGCCAAATATTTATCCAATTTATTACAGCTAACATTGCGCCTACGTCTGGGATGAGATTTGTATAACCAGAAAATTTCTATTTAAGTCTTCTCTCTTCTTCTTAGCCTTCTATTGACCATGTTTGAAAATAGGCCTCTCCCAAGTCCTTCCATCGGTATCTATCCTGAGCAACATATCTCCAATTTGTTCCGACTATTCTTTTAATGTCATCAACCCATCTGATCTGTGGTCTTCCTCTTGGTCGTTTACTTTTGTAAGGTCTCCAATGTTATGTTGTAGTATTCCAACGTTGGTATTTTTGTCTAGCAGTGTGGCCCGCGAAGCTCCATTTAAGATTGGCAATTTTTGTTGTTATGTCCTCGACTTTTGTTTTGGATCTTAAGCAGTCGTTCCTCTTTTGATCTACCAGTCGTATACCTAACATTGCTCTTTCTGTTGTGGCTAGTTTATTCATGTTTGCCTTGGTTGGGGTCCAGGTTTGACATCCATATGTCATAACAGGAAGGATGCATTGGTTGAACACTTTGCTCCTCAAGTATTGGGGTATTTTGCGGTTCTTAAGTATCCAACCAAGTTTTCCAAATCCTGCCCATCTTGCTCTTCTGATAATTTCCGCACTTTGGTTCTCTTTGTCAAGTTTCAGAATTTGGCCTAGGTAGATATATTCATGGACTTGTTCTATCTCACTGCCATTTATAGTTATACATCTGGGCTCATCTGTGTTTGTCATTATTATTGTTTTTATGTCCTACCTAATGTAAAGTATAATACTTCCCTTAATCCATTTTTGTGATGTTCTGTGTCATTGAGCGAATCATAATGACAGATGCTTAGAAATACAGGTTAAGTAGAATAGGTTATGGTGCCGAAGCATATGGTAGAAATGTGCAATGTCGAAGTAGTAGCCATTAATATTGGGTATATAATAAGGCTAAGAAGAGTTTGAGAGTTTTAATCTACAATCCCAAACCTAACTCACTTCTTTTTTGTCCCGTTTTGTATGCAATGTTTATCTTTCCATTAAATCTTCACGAATGAATAATTTTTAAAATAACACAGGTAAAAAAATAATTGACATTATATTGCTCTTTTCTAGATAGCATTGGATTTGGACAGCTCTGATAATCTAACAGAAGAAGCTATTTACAAATTTTTGTGTAAACATGGACAACAGTTGCTGGGATTAGGCCTATCTGGAATGACCCATATCACAGATTCTTTATGGCAATCAGTATTACCAATTCTCACCAACGCTAAGTAAGTAGTGAAGTTTTGATATTTCAGCACCAAAAATATCTTCTTTGTAACTATTATCCATCCCAAATGAAACGCAAAAATGTGCTCAATATATCTTTAGGAAGGACGAGACCAGTGATTATTGGATTACCTGGATGATGTTTTTCCACTTAGCAACTAACATATATTCCACAAGCAGCTAGATCTTTACCTTTATAACCTATACAAGCCTTCTCATTAAGACAGTAATCATCGAGCGTTTGAATCACATATTTCAGACAAAACCCTGATTTCCTTTGATGACTTTCCTTTATATATTTTTAACATTCTCTTACGATAGTAAAGATGATCAACCTTGAAATGTTTTAGGATATTGGTGATGGGAACACAGGAAAGACTGGGAGTGAACATCCTCGCGGATCAACTCATGGATAGTATAGCCAGAAACTGCTTAAACTTGGAAAGACTAGAGCTGAGATGGGACCCTGACAATCTAAGATTTTCAGATAAGAGTCAAAAGGCTATTGATACGTTACGCGTAAAATGCTTGAAGCTTAAGTGCCTATGTTTAAGGTAAGTCTAGTATTATCTTATGAATCTTCTATACTAGATAAATATATTAAACTATCCCAACTTACCTGCATTAATAAACTCATGAATGTTTGCTTATTTTGTTCACTAAATGCAATCCAACTCATCCGTGCTTCATCCGTCAAGCACATATTTCCATATATGTTTTATTGTCAATGAAAAGTGTATAATTTTATAGACAAAGCTTACAAAAAGTGAAAAAAATAACAAAAAAAATATACAATCCATTGAAAAATTTAACTAAAATGCAAGTTGCATAATAAAACGTTACGAACTAGTTTACGAATAAGTTTAAGTTGCTATATGTGATACCCAAATATCAGTGGCGCACCCAGGGGGGTTTTGGAGGTAAGGGGTGAGATATCTGAGACAATATAATCAATTATGTTAAATGTTGTTTTAGTAATTCTTGTAGGAGAATTAACGTGCATTGTGAAACCGCAGGAATCTTTTATATTGACCAAGGAGAATTGGGTAGCATAAGCAACAGCGTAATTAATATTTAAATCACCGCATAGAATCTTTCTGCTTTTATTGGGCAGGTCGTCTAACAAATTTAACAGGTTCTGAGAAGTTACGTGGAAGAATCACGTGATCTATTAATGCGAAGAATGTATAGATTAAGATTCTTGTTATACACCAATGAAAACTCAAAAAAGAATTCATTCAACTTCTTCTTCTCCTTCGGCTTTTCCCATTATGAGTTCGCCGTTTTCGTCCTCCACAGCACTCTATTCTTCCAGTCACCTTCTCTGAGGTTTCTATCTATCATAGCATTTCCGACGTATGTTTTCCATCTTGTAGCAGGTCTTCTTCTCCGTCTGCTTCCCGGCGGGCCCCAGTTTAATATTCTTTTCGGCCACCTATGCTCTGGCATTCTTTGTACATGCCCGTACCACTGCAGGGCTCTGTTTTCCAACTTTTTTCTAATTGAGCATTCTACTTCCAATCCGTTAGCCATTTAGTTATTACTAAAGCATAGTAATATTCATCACTATGCTTTGAAAAATCCCCTTTTTGTTTTCTTTGGTTAGAGTGTTGTTCCATATCACTCCATGAAGTGCTCTTGTGACTTGTTTTCCCCGTGCTATTTTCATTTCTATATCTTTCATACAAGTACCATCTCGGCTAATCATTGACCCTAAATACTTAAAAATCTTACAACTCTTAATAGGCTCTTCTTCTAAACTTAAGTTCAACTCTGCAACCTCGAGTCCAATACATAAGTATTCGGTCTTGCACATATTTATCTTGAGTCCCCAAAGTTCATATTCTTCCTTTAATTTCCTTGTCATATATTCCATATCCTCCCTGTCTTGTGCAAAAATGACTTGATCATCTGCGAAAAGTAGTGAATGTAATATATTCTCTTGTACTTGTATGCCCATTGTTCCGCATTTTCTATACCATCTGTTCAAAGCCTGATATATATATATATATATATATATATATATATAATATATATATATATATATATATATATATATATATATATATATATATATATATATATATATATATATATATATATATATCTTTTGTGGCGGTGATTGTTTTTGTTATTTCAGTACCTAACTTTATTTGCACTTGTGTTTCTTTATACAGTCTTTGTGTTATATTCACCCATTTCTCTCTAACGCGCATTCTTCTCATTGCTTCCCATAGTTGTTTCCTGGGTATGCTTTCTCTAAGTCGATAAAGGTCATATGTGTTTCAATGTTTTTTCTTTGTTCTTTTCAATCACCTGTCTCATAATGAATATATTATCTAACCATGATCTGGCTTTTCGGAATCCGGCTTGTTCTTCGCTATAATGGTCCATGTGTTGTTCTAGTTTTTCTTATATAACTGATGAAAAGATTCTCGCTATTGAAGGCATTACACTGATCCCTCTGTAGTTATTTGGTGACCTTTTGTCACCTTTTTTGAAAATGGAGGACATGTATGATAAATTCCACTTATCATCGGGAATTTTCTCTCCTGCTTCGATTTTATTGAACAACATTCGTATTAAGGATACTATCTTTGCGCCTCCATATTTAAGCAGTTCCATTTTTTATGTTCCCTGGTCCTGGTGCTTTATTGTTTTTTGGATTTCTTTAGTGCTTTATTTATACCTTCCTCAGTTATTATTGTCACAGGGTCGTATGAGATATACTCCGGCCTATTCTCCTGCAATAATTTTGTGTAATGCTTTGTCCACTTTTTTGATGTAATTATCTGTATGGTATTTTTACTTCGTTTATTACTTCTAATTTCATGCTAGTTTTTTTTCATGCTTCCGTTGATCTGTTATACCCTATCGTGTTGTCTACGTCTCTGCACATTCTCTCCCAGTATTCGTTTTTCTTTGTTTAACTTGTTGTCTGAGGGTAACATATTCTCCTCGTGTTTCTGGGGTTCTGTCCTTTAGCCATTCATTCACCAGAAAGTCATATTTTGTTATAGGAGAGAAATCATTATTTGTAGAAAAAAGTAGGGTGCGATCACGAGTTGAACTTGGACGACCATACCAGCAATTGTGGTATATTTTTATACAAAAAAAGGCTCGTTGACTTAAAGCCAGTGTTCGGTAACCGCAACTATCGGAGGAAATCCTAATTCCCTAGAAACAAAAATAATTCATCTGTTTTATATCTCATAGAACGAATATTAATCAGAACCATGCTAAAGTTGTCATCACTAAAATAATTTGAGGTTTCTAGTCCCACAGAACAGGTCATATTATTTACAAATTTCGTTTTGGAGAGGCAACGAGATAGCAGTTTCAGTAACTTTCCCTTGACTTTTGTAGGTGAATAATATTCATGGATGTTATCACGGAAACTTGTTCTTTGTCTTTCTCTATTCGTTTTCTTTTCCTTTAACATTTCTCTAACTTTTTGTTCATTTTTAGTGACGGCAGATACTACGAAGTGGTCAAAGCCAACTTTGAAAGAGCTGACAGGATGACAGTAGTACGCACTCTCACCAACTGCAGGATCTCCAACTACTACCTCCTGTCTAACTACAAGGATCTGATTTTTAACTAATAAAGACACAGAAAATAATTTAAAATATTTTTTATTTATGATCTATAATAAGTTAATGATAGTTTCTAAATGTGTAATAGTAGGTTGCTGTTGCTTTTATATTTATTTATTATTTGTTGATTCATAAAACGAACGAGAAGGCAATGGTGACGATTATGTTACAATTAGAAAATAAAAGAATTATTTGTTTTTTTTTTCATTTTGATTCCATAAACTCAACTCAATAAATTGCATTTTAATTCAATCAAATTCAATAATACTCTTTATTTCAATATATCGTAAGTTCAGAAGATGAATCCAACTATGGAGTCGAAAACTCGACGCTAACACTCTCCAAAATCAAATTAATTTACAGAGTAATTTGTCTCATTAAAATACAACTTTAAGATATAACTTTAATGTATTCGTTATAAAGCAAATTACTGAGAAACCACTAGAGTATAAGAGACCAGAATTTCTGTGTCTGATTGACCTAAAGAAAGCGTTTGACAGACTAAGACTCAAAGATGTAATCCATCTTCTATATAATAGAGAAGTTCCCCTAAATATTATAAAAACTATCGAAAACATCTAACAAAACAACAAAATTAAAGTCAGAGTAAGTGACTTACAAAACCTATAGAAATCGGCAGAGAAATAAGACAAGAAGATTCATTGAGCACAACGCAATTCAATTTAATCATGAATGAAATCATCAAAAGCGTTAATAAAGCAAGAGGATACAGAATGAGAAACAAAGAAATTAAAATACTTTATTGCAAATCTGATTACTTATTAAGAGTATTTTGTATTTTCGTATATTCAATTCCAGACCTGCTTCCTTACAGCTCTCAAAGACACTGCCAAGTCAAGTTTGCAGATCTTCTTGAGTAGAAGCTAGGAATGCTGTGTCGTCCGCATATCGCAAATTATTGATGACTTCACCGTTCACAATTATTCCCTTTTGTTTAAAAAGAAAAAAAAACATTTCTGAAATTTTTTTCGGATTCTGCGTTGAAAAGCAGGGGCTACAAGAGGTATTCCCGCCTTACCCCTCTTTTAATATTAAGAGCCCGTAATTTCAAAGCGTCTACTAAAACTGATGTTGTTTGGTTCCAATACAAATTTGCAATTATGCGAATGTCTCTGCCGTCCAAGCCAATGTCTCTTAGAACTTCGATCAATATAGAATGCTTGACATGATCAAATGCTTTTTGTAAGTCAATAAAACATATTTACAGAGATATCACATCTTTAAGCAAGTACGTTCATCGTAAGCAATGTTTCTCTAGTTCCAAACCCGTTTATCTTATCAGCACCTTAAAAAACGCGCGATGATGATAAAAGAGAAAGTTTCAACGAACACCTCCGAAGTATAAATAAACAACAAAATGATCATATGATCATTATGAGTCATTTCCTTACTACCTAAACTTACCTAAAAAGACAAGAAACAGTTTTTGCAAGAAAAGTCTTCCCCGGGATCATTTTCGTTCTGTTTCTTCAAAATGGCTTCAAAATAGAGTCATAAATGAATTTGCCGCGCAAAAGATAGAGTGACAACATTTCACAGAGGTACTAATAAGCCAATGAACAAACAGGATCGCTTGTAGAGAGGAGGAAAAATTTTGTATATTCAGTGATACCCTAAAGATGCAGAGGCGTTAATTGCGACGTATACGCATGTCTGGTTGATCATGATGATGCAAATACTAAGAAAAGCAGGAATTAACAACCGAGATCTGAAAATAATTAGAATAATTAGAAGTGAATCAGACCGCAAATCTCAGAATTGAAGGTGAACGAATACCGAAAACGTGAGTATGCTAAACCTCAAGTGGATCGATCAAATATCCTCTTTTCTCTTTTTTAAGCATGAAACTTTAAATTGAAGCTTCAGGGCATACCTTTACAGATTTGGAAAGGCAGAAAATGACAAATGCCTGCGCTGTCAAATATCAGATACCATCTCAAACACTCTATTGATATGCGATAGATGGATAGATGAGAAACAGCTAGAAAGTAGGGTGGAATCAGTCATAAAACTGGTGGAGGAGTTGCTTAGGTCGTCAGATCGATGGAGAGCAGTTCAGTGATATGTGAGGAGAACGTTGGAGGGAAAGGAACAAGAAAGGCTACCCGAAGGAAGGCAAGGCGCCCAGGAGTAAGCAAGAAGATAGGGCAGACTGAGAAGGGGCGACATTGAACAAGAACAGGAAGGAACAGAGGGTCAGAAAAATTCAGTCGTAGTGAGAAAGTGCTAGAATGCGTGAATGAGAGATCGGGTGAATGCTGTGCCGATGTTGCATGCCAATCAGGGCGGTAGTTCACCGCTGAGGAGGGTGTTTTTTAGCAGGTAGGTCTCTGGCATTGATGGCGATGGTGCCCGAACAACCCCTGCGTGCGATCCCGGATATCATCGTGAGCACGCTGGAGGAATCCTACATAACCTAGGCTGGAAGGCGGTCCTGTCCACCTTCTAGGACCGAGGTACGTTTCGAACATTTGGACCACCCTCTCATAAAAGACGAAAAAAAAAAGATTTTTCACTGGACCGAAAACGTTTTGAAGATATTTATAATCCTTTTGGATAAATTTTAAATATTTTGATAAAAGTAAGAAAGTCGGAATAATGTTAAATGTGACTAAAAAGCAAACAATTACTAAATTTGACACGAAACTTGCAAAATCCATTACTATGACTCTTTTGTGTAGTTTAAAACACTTTCGCAGAGGAACATTATTTTTTCAGAAAATTCTCCTGTGCGGAATGAAGTTTTGATAGAAAAATGCAATACGCAGATATCGCCAAATGGCACAAATAGACTGAGAAATAAGAAAGACACATATGACGACTTCGGCAGCGAAAGTGTTAGCGTTTTCAAGATAGCCGAAAAAATTTTAGAAGATCGATCAACAAAACAAAAAGTATAGGGTCAAATAATTTTCCACTTTTGCAACAGTTGCTAAATGCAACCGCACTGTGGTTTGATTTGAATCTGTGTATTGAAACAACAAAATTTCACATAAAATATATGTATTTATTTTCTTCCACGCGATGCGGCAACTCTGTGCTACAACTGGAAGTTTCCGTTTTTATACGCTTTAGATTTTTCTGCGCCGTTGTACAACTGCCAATTCAATTATTCGTCCGCCTATTCTTTGAGCAATTGAGCATTCTGTTGATTTTTAGGCATAATAAAACTGATGACTCATAAACCTAGAGAAAATACACAAACAGTAATGTGAACTATGTTTATAACAGTAATGTGAACTATGTTTAGGTATAGAATACTTTTTACGAAAGTGATTGATAAAAACGTAATGGGTATTTATTTATAGATGTATAATACTAAAAATTGTGAGGAAATACTTTACTATAGGGTCATTCGATAACTACTGGGCCAAACAAAAATTTTAAAGAAAGAAAGAATATTTCTTGCCACTTTGTAGACTCATTATTTAGTGTCACACACTTGTAGTAAGTGTGTAACAATCTGTCTATTGTCTGGTTTTGATATTACTTCAAACTGAAACTCACGTGTGAATTTGTAAACAATGAAAAAAACTGTGTTATGAAAATTATAACAACTTCGATACTGTTGGAATTCGCTCTCACACAATAAAAGTTGTAGAGAAAGAAAAAAGTTACACAGTTCTGTTTTCTTGGGGTTTCCATCTCTGGACTACTTTTACAGCTCGATTATCTGGCACTCTTTCTAAGTCACCAAGCCAGTTTAGTTTTAGTAACTTTACGAATAACAATATCTGCACTCTGCATTAGTTCATCCAGCTCATGGTTCATTTTAATTCTCCACGAACCATCGCTGCATTGGGTTGGTCCAAATATCTTTTAGTATTTTGCGCTTAAATATTCTCAGTTGACTTCATCAGTGGTTCAGAGGGTCCACGTTTCACATCCATATGTGACCACTGGTCTAATTACTGTTTTGTAGATTCTAAGCTTAGACTCACAATTTAGTAACTTACTTTTCATTAAGTCTTTGTATGCATAAAAGCACTTATTACCGCTAAGAATCCGTGCTTGTATTTATTGACTGATGTTGTTCATGTCATTTATTATTGAGCCTAGGTAGGGAAAAGTGGAGGCATATTTGTAGGTATGGTTCAGATTCTCATGTTGATTCGATTTTTTGCACTTCATATATTTTGTTTTATTTCATTTATATATAGACCAAACTTAACAGCTTCTCTTTTCAGTTCTATAACTTTTTCGCTTAATACTTTTGTAGCGGCTTATTATGGCAACATCATCCGCATTTTTACATTGATCTTGTATTAATACAACCGTTTATATCCAGTTTTCTAACAAGAGTTTCTAAAGTTAGATTAAAAAGTGTTGTTGATAAGTAAATTTAGTAAGGACTTTTAAACTGTAATTACACATTTTTGCCTTTTCTTACTGAAGAGAGTTGCAGACGGCGAGAAAATGATTCATCTACGTCGAGACAAGAAATTTTCAACTCAAATGAAATTTGTTAAAGAAACGGCCAAGTCCAACGAGGAAGTTGGGATTAGTTCTATAGATTTTATACAGAACCTTCAACTGCCACAATGATGCAAGAGGTTTTCTATCTTCGCCAGATAACAGTAAACGTTTTTTGTTTTAACGATAATAAAACAGGAAAAGCAACGTTTTTTCTGTATCATGAGGGTAACGGTACGAAGAAGCCGAATGAAGTTTGCTCATTCTAATGAGGTATTTTATAGAGAAAATGCCGTTAGTGAAATATCTTCATGTTTTCTCTGATGGTTATAAAGCACAAAATAAAAACCACACTATGTCTTAAGATTTTTTTCCTCTTTGATTTCTCTCCAAAAATGTAAGACCGTTGACCATTATTTTTCTATTAGGGGTCATTGTTTCCTACCCTATGATAGTGATTTTGCAGTGATTCAAAGAAAAATTATAAAAGTAGACCGCATATACACCATGGAAGAATATGGACACTGATAAAAACTTCATGTAAAAATAACCGCTTTAATCTGGTATTGGTCAATGCTGAAGACGTAATTGATTACAAAAGTTGGTGGCCAGAGTATTACAAAAAAACCGTGTTATCCGCAGAACCCAGTGGCCAAAATATTCCACGGAATCAGAAGCTTTAACCAAAAATAAGCCAATTCATGCATTTTCACCACTCATTCGAGAAATCAAACTTGGTTGTAGCGCACTCTTTTATTAATGGATTAGCCAATCACACCTTCAGGTTTAATAATAATAAAAAATACACTAATATTGGCTGAAGCATTGGTAGTTCTGGCTTTAAGCTCAGAACAAGAATTTCAACACAAATAATAGATAAACACACAAAGATCGAACGATGGAATTTGGCGAAGCTAATAGAAGAAAATAATCAAAGACAGTACCAAGTAGAATTAAGAAATAGGTTTCAGGTTTTGGAAATAAATGAAAATGAAAGTGATGGAACTCCATAAAAACAACTATTACAGAAGCAGCAGAAAAATCTATCGGAAGAACGAAAAAAAACAAAAAAGAAAAAATAGTTCGACGACGAATGTGAAAGAACTCTAAATTAAGCAAACAAAAGAAGAATTGATAATCTGTCGAATCCATCAGAAGAAAAACGTATACGATTCAACAGAGAGAGAGAGAGAGAGAGAGAGAGAGAGAGAGCCGCAGCTAGAAGAACACTTAGACAAAAAAAGAGACAATATCTGCAGCAACAAATTGAAAAAGTAGGAGAACACAGACGAAATCAAAGTCAAAATTTCTACAGAAAAATAAGACAACATAAGAGAGGCTCGTATGTAAGCACACCCAAATTCGTAAGAGATAAAAATGGAGAAATACTGGCTGCCGAAAACAAAATAATAGAAAGATGGGCTGAATATTTTGAAGAGCTCCTGAATATCCAAAATTTCACTGATGAAAACAACGGAGAACATGAGTATCAAACCGTTCAATTAGAAATACCCCCAGCAAGCATGGAAGACATTACACATGCCACAAAATGCTTAAAAACGATAAATCCCCTGGTCTTGACAATATTGATGCCGAGCTAATTAAAACAGGCGGTCATGAACTCATAAGTAAAATCCATCAATTAATAGAAATGGCCTGGCAACAAGAAATAATGGCGAAAGAATGGTGTGGTAGTATTATTGTACCAATACACAAGAAAGGAAAAATGGAATTGTGCATGAATTATAGAGGAATCTCACTAATTAACACTACATATAAAATATTGGCTTCGATATTATTAAAAAGATTACTACCATACGTCGAATAGTTGGTGACTATCAATGTGGTTTCAGGCCTGGCAGATCGACTATTGATCAAATATTTACAATAAGAAAAATGCTTGAAAAGTTTTGGGAATATAATCACGACGTGCATCAGATTTTTATAGACTTCAAACAGGCTTATGATTCAATTAATTGATCGAGCTCGGCGTAACCAAGAAACTAGCTGCGGTAGCACAAATGTGTGTAAGTAACTCTTTTGCACAAGTTAGAATAGGGGGAAAAATATCAAATGCTTTCTGCGTAAATTCTGGACTGAGAAGGGAGATCAGTTGTCCCCATTGTTGTCTAACTTGGCCTTAAAATATGTCATGTCATGCTGTTCGAATGATATATGGCCCTTGCAGAAACAGCGTGACAAACGAATGGAGTGCCAGATAAAATAACAAACTAGAGTCTCTACGCGGAAAAGAAAATCTAGTCAGATATATTAGATGTGCAGGGCATGTGATACGCAGTAAAGACAATCGCCTTATAAACAATGTGTTCTGAGAAAGGCCAGATGGAAGAAGGTCTGTAGGGCGGTCTAGAAAAAGGTGGAAAGATGCAGTCAGAGAAGATCTAGAGAAAGAGTGCGACAATGGGAATTACTGGCACAGGACCGAAAAACATGGAAGGCAATAGTAAACGCGGCAAAGACTCACGAAAAGTTGTAGCGCCATTGATGATGATGATGATCATTGGTATATCCCAGTGGAATAATTCTGATTAATTATAAGAAGATTGTTGATATACAAAAACTACAAACTTATTATATGGGATGTAGAAAATATCCACCATTATAATGAATTGTTCAACTGGCCCACAACGACCAATAATATACCTGAAGAAGATGAATGATCACACTTTTCGTTTTTTTTTAGTTGTAATATTTTTTGTGCTTTTTATTATAAATTACACTATGTGTATTTTGTTTCCTTTTAATTCCTTATAAAGTTTAGTTTCAGGTGACGCTGAACAAGTTATTTGAGAAACTGCTTAAGTCAATCAAGTTTGAGCTTATATATCTTTCTGTCAAAAAATATTGGAGTGAAAAAGTCAAGAAACAGTGTATAAATGGAATAAGGTCAGTTTTTAACATGTACAAATCTTCGTATTTTCCTCACACAGTTTTTCTTGTTTTCCGAAAGTCTTAATTTTGTGACTTATGGGGTTTCTCAAATAAGTGATTAATTTGTTGTTTCTATCCACCTTTTTACGCTTCTTTCGTTTCATGAATCAATCTGAGAACCCGATTCAATTCATTGTATCTATACAATATATATGTACACCTATCTTAGACAAATTGTCAAAAAAAATCATATACATAACCAAAATATATAAGTTATTTGAGATTACCTAAATTAAAAACGTTTTCCAAAAATTATTTTTATCAAAGTGGTAAGTCATTGGGTTTGGAAATACATTTGACTGAGTCATTGTCGAAACGTACAACGAAAAATTGGTCAATGCATAATATTTTAATGGACCGCAGGAGTGTGACGTCACGACTGTCACATTGACATTATTCCTTTCCAAAGAAAAGTTGAAATGTCAAATCTCAAGACTTCTTAATTTCTATAAAGTTAACATTTTACTTCCTCTGCTGCTTTTTCTTGTAAGTATAGTGTTTTTTACGATAATACCATCATAATTCAGAGTTCTATTTCTATGAAATATAGTTTAAAAGTTTAAATTAAAGAAATTCTAACCTTACTTTATTGATACATGCATTTTATTGCTATTAGCATAAACCAATGTGCTTTATTATTTACACAACCTTGTAAAATTGTTGTAGTAACTATTAGAATACTTAAATATTGCAATAAGTGTAAAGATTCTATAAAATAAATGAAAAAATAACGAAAAATACAAATTATCCACACTAAACCAGGTTTGTTTGGAAAGTGAAACTGACGTATGTCAATAAAATCTACGTCATCACTCCTGTGGTCCATTGAAAAACGAAGCTTGAACATGAAAGTGCATATTCAGTTTTTCTTGCCAATCTGTAGACTCATATTTGAATAGTGTAAGTATGACAGTCAATGACGATCTGTCAATAAATTTTTTTGATAGTACGTGATAACTCACACTGTCCTGAACCTCACGCGGAAGAAACGTTAAGGGATAGTCTTGTTACCTAAGACTCTCACGTGACAAGCTTTATTATGATGATAGCCTCTCATAGCGCATCAGCGTGCTACCATGAGAGGAGTCACGGTGAAATTCCTGGAGAGCATTGAGGCTCGGATGACTCGTCCTTGACATGGACAAATCTTCCTTACCGCAATGAATTTTATGCCCAAACGTTCCTACGTGTATCAAAGTCTCATCTAGAACGGGTGTATGCGTCAAACTGAAAGTCTCGTGTGAACTCATATTTTCACTCTCTCTTCAATCCTGACCCCTCAGGAGGAGTGTAGTGGTCGACGTAATGTCGTGTATTGTCCGTCTCTGGTCATTTTTTTTAATTCATGCATAGGTCTTTGGCATATTCCTGTAATTTGATCTATCCATCTTGTTGGAGATTTTCCTCGTGATCTTCGGCCTTCTACCTTTCCTTGTATTAGGAGTCTTTCCATGTTTTCTGTGTTTGCTCTCATAACATGCCCAAAATATTTTAATTGTTTGAGATGGACTTTACTAGAGAGTCGTTGGCTAACTTTTAGCTCTCTTAAAATTGAATTATTTGTTCTACGGTCGGTCCAAGGAATTCGTAACATTCGTCTCCAATAGAACATTTCAGTGGCGTCTATCTTTCTTCTCTCCGATTGTCTCAGAGTCCAAGATTCACATCTGTAGGTCAGTATTGGGAATATTAAGCAGTTGATCAACCTCATCTTTATCGCTCTTGAAATTTGACAGTCCTTCCATATTTTGGTCATTTTTGCTGTGGAAACTTTTGCTAGATCACATCTACCATCATGATCTTTGTCTTTGATATGTTTAATTGCAGACCAAATATTTGATTTTCGTTTTCGATCAGTCGTATAAGTTCCATCAGCTCTGCTTGACTATTTGCAAGAAGGGCTTTGTCATCTGCGAAACGTAGGTTGTTTAGTTTATGACCATTTATTGAGATGCCTTTTTCCCATCCTTCAAGTGCTCTTCGCATAATATAATCCCCATATATGTTGAATAATTGTGGAGATAGTATACATCCTTGTCTGACACCCCGTTCTGGATGAAACTCATTCGAAAGTGTGTCAAGTACTTTAACTGATCCAGTAGTGTGTTCATATAGTTCAGTTATAAGCGTAATTAGATATTGTGGTACGCCTACTTCTTTTAGTATTCGCCATCAGTGTCTCCACTTGACCCTGTCGAACGCTTTACGGTAATCTATAAAACAGATGTATAATGGGATGTTGAATTCCCTAGATTTCTCGATTATCTGTCTTATATTCAGCAGGTGTTCTCGAGTGCCTCTACCTTGCTGGCATGGGATATAAGAGAGATATAATTGTCGCATTTATGGAAGCTGCCTTTGCTGTTTTTGCTGCTTTTGCCACTACTATGTCGAAAATATTTCCTACATAGTGTCAATAAAGTTCCAGCATAAACACTATCAATTCTGTAGGTCATTTTATGTGAATTTGGTATCAAATTTGACACTAAAAGACCAGAGAAATTGAGCTACAGACACGCAATAACAATTTTCTACTTTACTTGCTTCATCATGTCTAGACGTCATAGTTATTTCTAGTTGGCTCATATAGTTCTCCACAACTGTCAACTAAAAATCGAAGATTAAGATCTATAAAGTCGTCATTAGACCAACGGTAGGATTGTTGAAAGAAACACCTACCTCAGAGTTCCAGAAACTTTGATTGGCTGGTCATATAAAAAAAGAGATGAGCATGTATTGTTAAGAAGATAAAAAGTCCCCACAAAAAAATTGAGAACATAACTGGCACGGGACATTCAAAACCTGATGAAAGCTACAATTTGAGGGTAGAACGGCGTGATTGGCAATGTTTTCATCAAATATTTCTACTAGTTGCCTCACTAAGTCTTGGAGTCGAATTAAACATAAACGAAAAAGAAATTCGACGAATAGTAAAAAAAACAACGGTTATTTCCCACTGCTTCATATATTTCTATAAAACTTGGAAGTAAAATCTCTAAAATCACTATTGCACCAATGATAGGACTATTCAAAGAAACACCTAGCTCAGAGTTCAATAGGCTCTACAGGTTTCGATGGGCTGGTCATATAGCCTAGAAAAGCCATAATAATTCCAGACAATGGGGTGCACAAAAAAGAATAGGACAAATTAGCAACGGACATGATGGTTACTAGAACTTGGGTCCCTAGTTGCCAGTTACCGACAATCTTGGAACCAGACATTAAAGGAGATTCGTTTACAGTATAGCGACATTGGAAGATGTGTCTCCTTAACTCAGTAAGTTTTGAGACACATTTAGTGCTCTTTAAAATGTGATACAATTACATCAACATACTTACACTTTCAAAAAAATTTCATTTTGCGTGAAAACATTCTGAAATTCAACTAATACCACAGCATGAGCATTCTATTTTTAAATTAGCCATAAGCGGTCTATTTGAACAGGATGAAAAGTCCACACCAACTAGAGAAACTGTATAGTCAAATAGAATACAGACGATGTAAAGCACATATGACAGACGATCTATGACAGATGATGTATGACAGACATTGCAAACGATGTATAGAGTAATTAAATTGATACGATAAAATAACAATAGCATCCGAAATAGTTTTAATATAATTTAAATTGCATTTTGTATGTTTTTTGCTGCAAACTCTAATTAAAATATTTATGGAACGCTTTTGCTGGTGCGTAGTTCTTTCTCAAAAGCATTTGTTTCATTTTCTAGTTATTATTGAGTTCTAACACACCATTTTAGACCATTTTCTTTAATCTTGATACAACTTTGGGAACATAAACATCCACCGCTCTTTGAAGTCGTTTTTAGAAAAAAAAAAAAAAGTTAAGAGGAACAATCATCATCATCATTCCTCAACCTCTTGCATCCACTGTTGGATATAGGTCTCCTCCATGTTCTCTATCTTGCGCCTTCTGTATCCAATTTCCGACTGTTTTTCTCAAGTCGTCCATCCACTTTTTTTGGTGGTCTGCCTCGGTGTCTTTTGTCTTCTCTAGGTCTCCATTCTATGAGTCTTTTGGTCCACCTATTATCATTTAAACGTGCTATATGTCCAGCCCATCTCCATTTGGCTTGTGCAATTTTTTCTATGACATCTGTCACTTTAGTCCTCTCTCTCACTATCCTATTTGGTACCATATCTCTTCTAGTTATTCCCAACACTGCTATTTCCATTTTTCTTTGGGTCACTCTCAATTTATTTGCAGAATGTTTGGTTAAAGTTATTGTTTCGGAACCATATGTTATTACTGGCAGTATGCATTGGCAGTAAACCTTTTTCTTCAAGCAAATCGGTAGCGTTCCTTTTAGAATATCTCGCATCTTGCCAAATGCCGCCCATCTCAAGCCTATGCGACGCTGGATCTCACATTGATTGCTGGATTGTCTTTTCCTATTCTAATTTCATGCCCTAAATGCCTCATGCCCAATTGGTCATGTATTTTGTTTTTTCAAAGTTTATGTTCAGGCCTATTTGTTCTATTGCCTGTTTTAGTTCTTCCATCATTTTGTGAGCTTCATTTAAACTCTCGGCTATAATGACAATATCACGAGAGGAACAACATGAGGTAAATAATGTGACCGAGGAACTCAAATAATCTCCATAAGCATTTTTTAAGTTTCGTAAAACCTTTACTGGAATTTTGAGTTCACCAGAAGATTTATGATCGCAGTCATTGACCTTAACATGACTTTGAGTACTTTAAACAACCTTTATAACATTCAGTAAAGTACAAAAGATATTAAGTTGATTTTTATCCAAAATTCTAACGTCAACCGCTCTTTGGCGCAGCTTTTTAAGCATCTATTCTTTGAAAATTGCCTCACTTGATTGTTGGAAATATAAAAAATCAAGAGGAACAACAATTGGTGAGCAAGGCGGCTATGGGACCAACATAATTGGTAGCTTGTTTGTTAGAAGAGTAAAAACAATTTCACAATTCCACGCTGTTTTCGGTGGCTTCTTGGACATTTATTGTTTGTAAATGGTGTTACTCGATTCTTGGAGATGAAAAAAGTAGAGTCTTTGGTTAAAATTCCATTGTCAAAATTTAAAACGACGTACTCACTATGATTGACTAAGTTTTCAAACATGTCTAATTGTTTTACAAATGACATAGTCTGTTTTTTGAGTTGTTGAGTATAAATCTGACAACAAATCACTTCTATAGACATTTGAGATACTTCTAAACTTTTGTTTTGACAATTTTCGCTCACTGCCAATAAAATACTCAGACGACATTAATAAACGATAGAGAATGTCCTAGTTCCTTCCTTCATTCCTATTTTGACGTTAAGTTAAATGACAACTGACAGTGACAATGTCAAAAGCACAATATTAATAAAAATGTTTTACGCTCCAGTCAGATTATTTAGTTATTTGAACTTTACAACTTGATCTAGGACTTAAATACTATACCAAGAAGGTTTAAAGTTTTCAAAAGAAAGTAAGCATAGAGAAAGAGGAAAGGCAGATGCGGTGGGAAAAAAGGAAAAATGAGGCAAAGATGGGAAAGGGAGAAAAAAGAGCAGGGAAGGGAAAAAATTAATATACCAAAAGCAAAACAATTTTTGGGAAACGCCATATTATACTCACGTTCAAATATTGACTTTGAAGAAAAAAAAAACCCGAATATTTAAAAGTTTCTTTAAACAGTATCACTAGCCAACGTGTACATACTACAGACAGAAGCAATATAGTCTTCTTTTTTGAACTGCTTCGAAATTATTGGTTTTTATTTGGGGAAAACTATCTGAAATGATAAAAAACTAAATTTGTTTGGCAAGCGGTTCATCTAAACAGCGAAAAAAATGATTTTTAACAGATTTTCTATTATTTCAGATTGGTTTTTTTATGTATATAACTTAAAGTGAAGAAAAAAGTATCAGAAAAAAGCAAAAGCGTAAGTTTCAGTAATCGATTGAATATACAACAATATTAAATTAATTTTTGATGTACCAATAATTTTTTTAGTTATTTGGACCTTACACCTTGGTCCCATAAGTACTTAATTGAATTAAATAGAGAGAATATTTAAAATTTTTAAAATAAAGTCTCGTTAATGAGAGATATGATACAAAAACAGTAGAAAAAGAATTAGTTGGGGAAAAAAAGAGGAAAACAATGACCACTTGGACTAAAGAAGGATAGAAAAAAACTATTTGAAGAATATAGTGAAATTACTAGCTTTTATTTCACAATCGATGTTCAATTTATCCTTATACCATTCGTTTGCATTGTTCTGATACTTCTACCAAAGACTTAATTAAACACTGGCAAATATCAACACACAATTTTTCCATTTAAGTATGAAAACTATAATTCTTACCGTATTCACACAATTTTCTGAGACCAATACTTCTCGCCACCCCTTAATACTAAAAATTGACAGTTTCTGTACACTTATCATATAATTAGTCATAAGAACAATATGTACAATGTTTGGTTTTTTTTTTTACAAAAATATAATCTAGATCAAGAGTAAGAACAGATTTATGTCGCTTTTATAGGACAAACCAGGTGATTATTGCGTGTTAGGTTTTACGAACATTTATAAATGGAAAACAATTATACAAAGGAGAAAATTGGATATTTATGTCAACGAGATATGGAAATTACTAGAGGAGTTCATGTTAAAACTAGTACAACAGAATATAAACAAAAATAAACTATCCACTAACTCGACAGAAGGATGCAGGAATCTAGAGGAACATTTGACATAACTTATATTAGCAAACCACGTGTCTATTATGTGTTAGACTTTACTAGCATCTGTGGTATGTGGTAGAAACATTTTTACAGAGACAAAAAACAATAAAAACAGTGTTATTACTATTTTTTTGTAATTATAGTAGTTTGTAATTAGAAGATAATCAGACTCTACAAAAGACAGTGGACGATTAAATAATACAATGAAACTGGTCAAAAGCAGACAACCATATAAAATTCAGCAGAAACCGAGAAAGGCTTATGCCCACTACGTCATTCACTGATAAAACCATACAGAAACAATCGAGCGAAAACAAATTAGGTTAGGTTAAATGACAAATTCGTCACAATGTCAAAACTATAATATTAAGTCAATTTTTTCACGATCCAGTCATTTTTTAACTAAATTAAATGAAACGATATACAAAGATGGTTCGAAGTTTTTAAAATAAAATCTCGTTGATGAGGACAAGGGGCAGATACTGAGTGATAAAAGCGGAAAAGGGTAAAATTGAGAAACAGTGGAAAAAAAGAAAAGAAAAAAGATGAAAAGGAGGAAAACAGCTCCAGAAATATAACAAAAGCATAACAATTATTGAGAAACGTCACAAAATAGGTTCGTTCAAATATTGATTTTGGAAAAAACCGAATATTAGAAAGTTTAAGTTTAAACTACATCACTAACCACCGATTAAATACTACAAACAGGAACAAAATATTCTTCTTTGGTCTTATGCTTAAACAATTTTAGTTTTTGTTTGGTGAAAACTATCTGAAATGATAAAAAAAAGATCTGTTTGGCGGGCGGTTACACCAGAAGCGAAAAAAAGTCATTTTTGACAGATTTTCTACTATTTGAGGTTTGTTTTGTATTAAATATATCTTAAAGTAAGAGATAACACCATACGAAGGCAAAAGTAGACATTTTTGAATCGATTGAGTTAACGACAAACCACAAACTATTTTGAGGTTAGGTTAAATGACAAGTGACGGTGACAATGTCAAAAGCACAAAATTAATTCACTTTTTCATATTCCAATCATTCATTTAGTTGTTTGGACCTTCAACTGAGCGACGATAATGACAAAATAATACAGAAAGAAGAACCGTAGTTAGTAGATCCACTGCAAAATGAATCTACCTGGAAAATTGCTTTATATGCATATATAACGCTCATACTCGTGAATATATCGAAGCAGCATCTGAATTTTACGGAGGGAAAGACAAGCTTTTCTACAAATGTTATTCAATCAAGACAAAACATTAGAAAACGTTGTATTAGAAGGAAAAGTTTCAGTAGAAGCTTATCAATTGCTTGGACACACCATGAATATGACCAACATCACTTTGGAAAACTCCATTTGGCACAGCTCATGACTCCATGATTGAAGATTGACTGATTTTATTAAAAAGTTACATTTATTCTTAAAATTTGCACACTACAATAGTGTTTGTTCTCTTCATGGAAAAAAATGTTGTAGTCGAACAGATGAGGAGTCAAATAAAACAGTATCACGAATCAGCAGTTCATTTGATTCAGATTAAAAGCCTTGAAGTGAAGTGGATAATAAATTATAGGGGTCTGGTCCGATTCTGCGAAATTTGACATAATTTGTAAGCTTTTTCTGTCTACACCTGTTTTTTTAGGCCACCTGGACTTAAAAGGAACTTAATTTTATTATCTAAATGTGAATCTTAACACCATTAATCAGGTTTTTTCTTGTCTAGACTTGTATTGACGTAGGAAACCATTAGTGAGTTTTTCCAGTCTGGACCCGTTATTTCAGGCCACATATGCAAGTGCCTTTGTGGTGGTCGCATAGCTGACCAAAAAGAACAGTTCTAGTCAGGACTAATCGTTTCTCACGTGACATCAAATCTAGAAAAGAAAAAGAACTTGATCAATGGTGTCAAATTGCGCAAAATTGCAGGTGACCGGACGCAGATTGATCAAAATAACAATGAACGTAATATTAAGTAGCAGGAATGGAACTAAAGAAAGAAATGGTGAGGAAATAAAAGGTATCTATTCATATAAAGGTAGTAAACTTAATCTGTACAAACCTGTACCGAAACTGCCAACTTTACTGATAAAAATTTACATGTATATCGTATATCTTCTTATCAGGAAATAAATATCTTTTCTCAAAGTCAATTAACAGCCAATAAAAACGTGGTTCGTGGTGACAATTACAGTCCTGTACCCTCCAAGCTCATTTCATAAAATTAACCTATATCACATTGTCTAAATCCTATCACCTATCGTAGTTGTGTTCTTCGGCCACGTTGGCGTTGACCGCTTGTTGGTTCGTCTCTTTCCTCTCGTCCGATTCGATGCCGTGAAGGATCTCGTGACAGAGGGGGCATCTGTCTTGGACGTAGAGCCACTTCCTGAGGCAGACACCGTGGAAGAAGTGCCTGCATTTAGTGATTTTGGCGCTCTGCATCTCTTGGTAGCATATGGCGCACACGTCGTCCAATAGGCGCAATTGCTCCCTGTTGGCTTCCGGCAGAGACTCTATTTTATTGACAGCTGTTCTTCGCTTGATGAAGACGGACCAGCCCGCTTTGGCGTCGCACCAGATGTTGAAATAGGCGTGGATGCACATCATGGCGGCTCTGATGGCACTGCCGCTCTCAAATAGCAAGATCCACGCTCCGTTAAAGAACAAAAATATGCCGAAACAGAACTCTATGGTATTGCCAAATGCTCGTATGTAATAAATGTAGTCGTCAAGCTTTTCCCAGAACGTTTCTCTTCTAGCGTCAAGAAGAAATAGTGAATAAATAGCTAACGATACGAATACTTTAACTATCACTTCTATACTAAAAGCCGTGACTGCTAATAGCCACGTGGAAGTTTCTTGAGTCTTCCACAAGTAGTACATGAGCAATATCGGTAAAATGACCAGCACTAGACATACCAGAAGAGCATGCAAGTGTTTTTTCAAAGAAGGATTGTGCGAGGCGCTTAAACTCATCAACAGAGGATTTACAACATTGTGAGTGAAGTGCAAGAGTGCTGTGAATAATAAACAAAAGTTTCTGCATAATCGTACGAATCGTACTTCAGGTTCAAGTCCTGTTAGTCCGGTCTGCAGGGCTAGTATGTAGAATACTATAGCTGAAACGGTACCGAAATTTTTGTCGTTTTCATCGTCAGTTAACAACACCCATTGGAAGAATTTTCCGATGAAATTGCACATACAAGATACTACGCTAGTGATGCCGAGTACCGCTGTCAACGTATCGCAGCCTGTCACCATCAAGTACTTCATGAGTCTGAAATACGGAGAGTGCCCATCATCTATGTCCCAATATCCTGATAGATAGAAAATTGCGGCGTTCTCTAATACTCGCAGCATCCAGAAAGTTCTCAGTACTTCTGGTACATTCAGTCTTAACCATTCTGATTCGACGAGTGCAGACATGCCGAAATTGGACACGAAATTCTTCGCCTGCAGGTAGCCCGAGTATATGGAATGGATGATTTGTAGAAGAGAGGTACACAGTACGAATTTAACTAGAGCTAGAGGTATCAGTGCAGCTACCATCGGTATGTGGGATAGAAGTACCGGAGGTGTAGGCAAAATAACCAGAACAGAAGGCACCAGAAACGCTATCGGTAATACTTTCTGCAATAGTGGATTCCTGGGACCAAGATGGATATTAGTAAATATAATAGACAACAAAATTTGAATGAAATAATTTTGAACGATGTTGTAGAAGTAATCTTTGTGCTGGAATAGTTGCTCCAAACTCAGTGACACCACGTTGATGACGTTGAGCGTTCCGTTTCCGAAGGTCTCCAGATTCAGCACTGTGTTGACGGTGTTGACGTTGGTCCAGTATGAGACGAATACCAATCCAACGGACATGAGATACATGTAGACCACCATCAGGTGTTTCGTGCTGAGTATGAAGAGGCATAATGCTGTCGCACAACCTACAACAAAAATTAGTTTTAATTAATACCATGTTAATTTTGAATACTTAAATGCTAGAATCAAAAACTTGCATATTCTAGAAGAAATCGGAAGAAACGGTGAATAGCACTTAAAACGGAGATTAATTGAGATTTATATCTCGAATTAACGTGTCTCGACATCTTTGGTCATTGACCCGGGAGCCAAGGTTTACAATAATACCTACAGAGTTATGATACAGAGTTTACAACAGTATTATGTAAATTATTATATTTTTTAAACAACTGTATAATCTTTAAGAAGTCTATTAGGCTCTTGAGTCGGCTTGAACAGTTCAGAAATTCTATTAGATTGTGGGTTATATTGTTGGCAATGCGAGCGGCCTGGTAGTATTGACATTCTGTGAGAATGTGTTTGTCGGTAGTAGAAATATCGTTGCAGTGGGAGTATAACTATTCGTTTTTAGAGGACATAAGATGACTGTGCGTCAATCGTGTGTGTCCTATTCTCAATCTTTGTATCTATCTTCTCTTTTCTGTTTAGAAATGCTAGGGAGAAACAGCTGTTAACATTAGGTTGCATTTCTCTGAACTTTGAGGCTTTGGTGATCCAAAATTCCTGTCACTTGAATATTCGTTTTAAATTTTTTTTTAACACTGCCTGGGGTGATTGCGGGGTGGACTGAGTAGCTCTGCGGTTACCACAGCCGGTCCAAAGCCCGGATAAAACGTGGAGGGTGATTGGTAAGGTTAGCAACCTACCAATTGTAAAAAACAAAAACTGCAAAAAGAAACAATGTACAGTCTCGGAACCGGATTGATACTATGAAGACGACTACGTCAAGAAACAAGGACAAGCGAAAAACATACAAAACCCACATGAGAATCACTACTAACATCAGATCACTGAACTCAAGGGACCAAGAAATAACCCTGAAAAATAAGTGCTGAAAGAGAAAGAAATAGACAGTTGTGCTCTACAGAAAAAAAGAAAGAAAGGTTATTAATACACCAAAGGTACCAAAATCACATCAAAGAGTGTCAATACATATCAGAAAAAAAATAGTAACAGCAAAGATAAGAATGGAGAAGGAAGACCTGAACATCATCGGAGTATAATAATAATCAACTTCTGCACGAATATCGAACTAAGAATAAACAACACATTTTTGACCACAAAGACCAACACAAATATACATTTAATAACACCCATGGACAAAGATCTATGATAGATTATGTTATAACCAACAGAGATATACATCCATCTTAAACAGGAACAGAATATCAAAGAAGATCGCTGGGTATTAAATATTAGAAAACGATAACATCGAGGAAAGCTGGGAAAACTCAAAAATAACATAATTAACGCAGTAAACAGCATCACTTGGAGATAGGAAAGTAATGAACATCTAACATATAAAAAACACCATGGTTTAAAGAGGAAGTGAAGACAAAATGTGAAGAAAAGAAAAAAGCCTTTTTACAATACAGAACACAACAAACACAACAGGCATACAACCACTATAAACACGAATCAGAAATGAAACGAATACTTTAGTTAGACAAATATAAAAGGAACACTATTTCTCAAAACACATGGAAGACGACTTTTACAGAACACAAGGACAAAGAAAAGAGATCAATTCAGAAGGAAACATAGGTAAACTACTTTCAATCCCTATTTTGCTAAAGGTGACGATAATAAACCACCAACAGCAGAGGTAACGACAACGAAGTAATAAATATTCAGGAGGAAGAGGTAAAGGAAGCATTATATAGTTCAGCTCAACAGGCCTCAAAGGTCCAAGGCTTCAAACGGTTTTCTTCCATTTCTTTCTATCTTGTGCTAAGTTTTTCCAATCTTGTACCCGCAGCGACTTCAGATCTTCTTTTGACGACTCCAGCCATTTTCTTCGGGGCGGCCTCTTTTTCTTTTTGTACCAGCCTCCGTGTTTATTAATTCATTGGGACCTCTTCCTTCCTGCATTCTTGCTATATATCTTTGAATTTTAGTGAGTCTTGTTATTTTTGGTTGCCCATATATTTGTATTATTTCTTCATTCTTTCTTCTTCACCAGATGTTCCCCTCTTTTACCCGTATATCCTTCTAAGAATTTTTCGATCCCATCTATCTAATTTTACTTCCATATCTTTATTTAGTGTCCAGGTCTCGCTAGCATAGAGTACTGTAGGTCGGATAACTGTTGTATATATTCGTTTTTTTGCTGTTCTGGATATTATCTTCGACCTCAGTATCTTAGTCAGGCTCCCAGCACTCTTACTACCTTTGGCCATTCTTTTTATGATTTCTTGGTTCTCTTCGTTCCTATTTGTTAGTGTCACTCCCAAGTAATCGAATTGGCTAACAACTTCAAAGTTATATTCTTTACTTGGGCTTTGTATCTTAAAGGACTGTCCTAGATGATTTCCTTGATGATTAAGATTTTTGTCAATCCCCTAATTCCTGCTCCAGAATTTGCTTCTCCTTTATGATAATATATAGGAATCTATTTTTGGCAGAAATCTATTTGGTAGCATAAAATAAAAATTCAAAGAACGAGGACATTTAGCGAAATCTGATAATAGAATCCTTAAGTAGTTTACATACTAGTAGTTTAATTATTTGTAATGAGAGATCGCTTCTTTAATACCGGTCATTCGAAGTGGTTTTATACCTGAATTAAAGAAAATGTTATTATAATAGGCCTATGTAGGTAAATATTTGAGCTGGTGAAAAATCCCTATACTTTACAATAAATTACAAAAAAATCCCTTTGTCCCTTTTATACTGAAATATCCCTAGATATCCCTAAGGATGTTAGAAACAGCAGAGATGAAAAAGAAGCAGATATGTGATAGAGCTAGAAGTACAGATGTACGACGTAGATACAAGGTAGAGAACGATCATAAAAGCCGAATGACAACAACTAGAGTAGTAACGACGGCAAGAGACGATTTCCCAATAGGAAGACGATCAGTAGAAAGACCACGAAAACGATGGAACACTTACTGGAGGTATATTGAAAAACAGACAGTCATGCCTATAGTTATTTTTATGAACGAGAGAGTAATTAGCATAATTTTAACTGGTACCTTCGACCACTCCATGGTGCGTGCTCAAGATTAATTGAAAAATTACTTTGAATAATTGTAAAAAATAAATGAATTATTTCAGTGTTATAAAGTGTTATGTGTATGTAAACAAAAGTGACCTCTTTTATCACACACTATATTAGAACTGACTGGCCTACATTAAAAAGGGTTTTAAAAAATTCACATTTTTTTAATTTTTAAAAATTACAAAAGAGAAAAAGAGTTTTTAAAACCGTCTAAGGTATGTTAAATAGATGAATAAAAATATTAATATAAAACTTACAGCTACTTGTTACAAATCCAAATCAGATTCAGAAGATGAACTTTCAGAACCAAGATTTATAATAACTGGCTCGATCATTTTATCAGTAATATTGTCCAGCTTTCACATTTTTTTCCTCTTCTTTAATAGTGTGATTTACTGCCTTTTCCCAGTTTTCAGGTTTTACATTATTTACGGCCTCCAAAAACAACTGTTTAACATCATGAATTTTAAAAGTGGTATTTTTTCTTGAAACTTCACTCTTTATCTGTGCCCATACCAGTTCAATCGGGTTTAATTCACAATGATATGGTGGAGGATCTAAGTACTGACATTCCATAATTTTTGGCAATTTCATCAATTTCGTATTTTTTAAATTTTTCTTTATGAAGGGCACACAACGAATAAAGTTCCTTTCTTATAGATCCGGGTGGTACGTAATATTTTTTGAACTCAGCCAATTCTGCAAGTCTTTTTTTAACCACTTGGTTGTGGGCAGTCCTTCTATAAGTCTGGAGTGATAACTTGCATTATCCATTACTATTACACAGTTCTTAGGAAGAAGATTTATCATTTGTTCGAACCATTCTTGAAAGACATCAGCGTTCATGTCTTCATGGTAGTCACCGGTACGAGTTGATTCAAAAGTTAATAAACCACCTTCAACAAAACCGTCTAAACTACCAATGTGTACTATTATCAGCCTGCGTCCCTTTCCTGATGGTGGGTTTAAACCAGTAGATAAGTTATTTACAAAAGCGTGCCGTTGACTTGTAACAGTTTCATCCTGCCAAAATTTATTTGGTGTATGACCCTCGTTGATCCATGTTTCATCAAGATAAAATATTTTTCTTTTTTGGTTTCTCATTTCCTTTATGGTTCTTAGAAAATGTCTTTTCCATATGACAATATCGCTTCTTTCTAATAAAATAGACTTTCTGGGATTCTTTTTCCAGCGGAAGCCTATTTCTTTTAAAAGTTTCCATAACGTACTTCGACTCATTTCTGGGTAATCCTTATCATCTCGAACTGAGACAAGAACTTTATCCAATGTTGGAAATTCTTGTCTAAAGAAGAATTCATGCACTTTCCGTCGAAGTCCTTCTTTAAAATGATATTCTATTTGAAATTTTGGTTTCCCTGGAGCATTACGTGGCATTTGAAAACTACCACATTTCTCTTCTTTAATAACTCTGTAAATCGTAGATTTCCCAACACCAAGTGTACTGCTAATTAACTCAACGGTCTCATCAACACTTTCACATAAACGTTTGTCTGTAAATGATTTAAAACAATTAAATATTAATGTTTTTTCATTAACTGTTAAAGGACCAATTTTTCGGCGTTTACACGGCACTTCCAAATTTTCCAAACACTAGTATACACAATAAACTGCACCTTGCAACTGAAGTACCTACTTTTAGTGAACTGTTAAGAATTTTGAATACGCCACTTGGACCTTCCTACAAAATGGAAAAACCCACTATCACATTTTCTGTGGAATAAGTTTAGAAGGTAATTATCTAGTCAATTACTGTCGTAGATTCCTGGAATTAAAGAATTAAATGTTTGATTGTTGAAACCCTTACTTGTGGAATGCACTCATTTCAGATAAAATAAAACGTTTTATTTTATCTAAAGAATTAAACTTTATTTTGCAAATAGG